CCCCCCAGGAAACCCCCCTGCTGCTGCTCTCCCTGCTGCGGTGAGGCGGGTCTGGGAATACCCCCCACACCAGCAGCTCGCGGGCGTCTGGCAGCCCCGTGTCCTGGCACTCAGCCTGGCCCCAGGATGCCCCAGGGCCAGCAGTGAGGAGTCCTTGCTCAGGCCCCGCGGTGCACGTGAGTGATCAAAGTGGCGTCCAGTCTGCCCACTACCCGCTCGCCCACGTTTTTTGTGAGAGTCCTCAGAAAGTTTATGGAAAGTGTGTTTATGAAAAAGCTGTGTGTGGGTTGGCAGCCCCGTGTCCTGGCACTCAGCCTGGCCCCAGGATGCCCCAGGGCCAGCAGTGAGGAGTCCTTGCTCAGGCCCCGCGGTGCACGTGAGTGATCAAAGTGGCGTCCAGTCTGCCCACTACCCGCTCGCCCACGTTTTTTGTGAGAGTCCTCAGAAAGTTTATGGAAAGTGTGTTTATGAAAAAGCTGTGTGTGGGTTTCAGATGTTTTCTGCACCGGAATAAGCTGAGGCTTTAGCTGTGCATCCCACGAGCTTTCTGAAGTGCCCTGCATGGTCACCTGCCCGCCTGCCCGCCCCACATCCGTCCTCTGTGCTGTGATCGCCGACACGTGACCAGGCGTCCCTCATGAGCAGGTTGCTGACAAGAATCCTGTGGCTCGGGCTGGACAGCAGGGTCGGGGTCAGGGAGAGAGTAGGCGTGAGTGTGTGTGGGCACGCTCTCGTGTGGACGCTGGCGTGGTTTCCTCCGTGGGCTGTGCACCCGTCTGTGAGCCTTCCCCGTGGACTCCACAGAGTTTGCCATGGAGCAGGTTCAGCATCTCATCAGAGCGTCCACTGGAGGCACAGAGGACACAGAAAAGGACACGGCTCACATTCTCTCCCAACGCAGGACGCCTCCAGCTGGCCCGAGAGCCCGTTGCTTCCCGTGCATCAGGGCTCCCTCCCTCCCTCTCTTCCTTCCTCCCTTCTTTCTTAACCCACCATCTGTCTTTTTCTCTCCCTTCCTCCCTCTCTCCTCCCCCTCTCTCCTCCCTCCCTCCCCCCCTTTTCTTCCCATAAGCAGAGAGGTAGGCAGAGACAGAAGGACAGAGACAGCAATCCCAGCCGTTTCTTGATGCTGCCGTCTACCGCCAGCCCCGGCCAGCCCCGGCCAGCCCCATCACGGCTGCATGTGTGACCCGGTACTCAGAGGCCACAGATGCAAACCCAGGACCCGCCACGTGGTGCAGCCTTGCAGAGGCGCCTCCTTTGGGCATCCGCCCTGAATTATTTTTCAGGAAAGGCGTATGCTCCAGAGGCCACCCAGAGGGCAGGAAGAGTCTGGTACTCATACTGGTCGCGGCATAAGGGGAAACGCAGGGGCTCCGTGGTCCAGGCAAGGGTACTGTCCTCCTCTCCCAGTGCTCTCTGGTGTGACAGCTGGCATGTGAGAAGAGGGAGCGAACCGGGACTTCTCAGGAGCAGGAAGCGTCACATTGCTGCGTGGGAGCCACGTCTGTGCCTGGGCGCTCTTCCCATGCCATGGCTGCCCTCCGGCCACAGTGATCTTGGACGGGCCTCCTAGCCTCCTTGCGCCCGAGTTCCTGCATCTAGAAAGAAGGGATCAGGCTGGCTTCGAAGCTCTTGCTGTGTAACAACAGTTACTTATCAGCTTTAGAGAAGTGTAACTTAATAGATGCCATTCCTAAGATGGTAACAAACTGTTTTAGAGCCCCTGCGTGTATTCAGGGAGGCACACTCTTCTCTGGAGGCCTGCCAGCAGACTGGGTAGTCCGGGCAGGGCGGCTCTCAGCCCTCTGCCAGCTACTGGGAAAGAACTGGGTGAGACAGGGTTCAGGAAGGCCAGCTTTATATGCTATTCTCCATGCTCCAGTTGTATTCTACATGTTTAAACAGTATGTGAAATTTTTAACTTGTATTCTAAGTGTTTAAATTGTATACTAAATGTTTAATTTGCATACTAAATGCTTACATTGCATACTAAGTGAAGGGCTTTTTGAGCCTTCCAGTGATAAGCCAGAGACAGTTTCTGCCTCTGGCAGGATGTTCTCAAGTGCCTTAAACAGCTGTCCCTGCTGAGACTCTGCGGGTATTTCAGCAAGCTTGTTCTTAGTCCTGTATGAAGAGTTCATAGATGAAGTTCTCTTAAAATGTTCTAAACTATGTGCCTCTGGACAAATCCTGTGTGTGTGTGTGTTGGGGGGGGAGCTGTCCTTTAATGCAGACTAAAACATCGCGGAGAAGATGGCGAGGAAGGGATTCTGAAAATAGGCACCATTTCAAAAGAAATAGGTTAGGGCTTCCTTGGGCCTCCCAGTCCCACAGATCCGAGGCCTTGGTTTCGCTCAGCACGCGCTTCCTCTGTAAGATGTCCCTTAATGAAGCGGAGCCTTCTCATCTCTGACAGCCGCCCGGATGGTGAGAACCACGTCTCCATTGCAGTGGAGACTTCCCGGCCACATGCGAGCTGGGCGTTCTGAGTTACGGTGAGCCACAGTTCGCCAGCTGGTGGGCCCCTCGGCCACCCGTTTCTCTTGACCTCACTGGCTCCATTTGCAAAATCCGATTAAGGGAGTGACCCCCCTCCAGGCTGTACAGCGCAGCCTTCGGTTAGTGCGTCACGGGGCTGTTCCCAAGATCCGACGAGGCGGCAGAGACGACCTCGCGGTGTTGGAGGAGAGGCCCACTGAGACCCATGGGTCGTCGTCTCTTCTTTACTGACGCCGTGTTGACCTTGCGTCGCGCAGCTGTGAGTGCTCCAGACTGAAAGCCTCTGTGGCCGTTAGGGACAGGAAAGCTGGCTGTCGGCCATCGATCTACTCAGAGATCGCGGCTTAGCAGGCGCGTGTCACCCCGTCAGCCACGCACCGCACACGGAGGGGCCAGCTCGGGTTTGTGAGCCCTGTGGGAACCCAAGCAAGGGCAGGCTGGCGCTGGACGTCGCAGGGCGCCATCCCTGCTGCAGATGGTGATTCCTTAGGAGGGCCCGGCTGGCTCCGTCGATGGAGCTGCTGTCACGGAACTCCACGGACCGGGCGGCTTCTAAGCGACATTTATTTCCCTCAGTTCTGGAGGCTAGCGGGCCCAAGAGGAGGCTGCCTGCGGAGCCAGTGTCTGTCCTCATGGGGCGGAATCGGTGCGGGCGCACTCGGGGGCTCTTGCGAGGTTTCAGCAGAGGGATTTTGCAGAGGCAGATACTCAGCTGACGGCCTCTTGCCCCTGTCTCCCCAAAGCCATGCCCTTGTCACATGCAAAACACACTCGTTCCATCCCAGTAGCCCCGAAAACCTTAACTCACTGTGATGTCAGCTTTCAAGTCTAAGTCAAGAGTCTCATCTACATGTCATCTAAGTCAGATGAGACAACGCATCATTTTTCTTTTATTTAGAGAGGCTTCTTTTTTCTTCTTCTTCTTCTTTTTTTTTTTTTGCTGTGCTTACACTTCCTGGAGAGACAGAGAGACAGAAAGCAAGAACTCAGCCCTCGGGGCGATGGCCATGCCACAGTCTCTGCACTCCCTTGTCAGGATTTTGGGCACACGTGCGCATGCTCCCAGCATGAATTTTACACGGTGCGTCTAGGACTCAAACTGCGGTCAACTGTGTGGGATTCCAACGGCGCAACCCTGACGCCATCCGCGGGTCTCCCGAAGGCGTGGTTTATCCTGAGGCAATGGCTGTCCAACTGGGATCCTGTGAAACTGAACAAGGTCTGTGCTTCCAGAACACTGGGCACAGCCGTAGGGTACACATTTCCATCCACAAGGAGAGAGCGGCAGGAAGAGGGCACCAAGCCGCCAGGAAGTCAGCGGGACAAGGGCACGACTCCTTCAGGCTCAGGAAGGCCTCCGACTCCACGTTCTCTGCCCCGGGCCCCCTAGGGTAGGGCCGAGTCCGTAAAGCTCAGGCAGTTGACACCCCTCAGCCCCACCTTGCCCCATGGCTTTGCTGTGCCTTTCCCAAGAAAGAGGATGAGAAAATGAGCAGGCGCAGGCCCTGACCCTGGTTACTCGTTGGCCAGAAGGACAAGGAGAACCCGACCAGGCTTCCTGTAGGCGCAGGTGCGAGCGTGGAGGACCACGTGTGGCGGCGTCCTTCCGAGTCGTAGCGCCTCCTCTGACTGTGGGATGTGGCCGCACGGCGTCCTGGGCTCTGACCGCTAAGTTAGCCCTCCTGGTGCTGCCGTGGGGCTCGCTACGGAGACCGGCAAGGGTACAGGCGTCTCCAGGACCTCTGTCCTCCCAACTCCCCGGACAAGCCTGCGGTCAGCCAGAGGTGGCCGCGCCTGCGAGAGGGTATGCCCACCCTGACCCGCGCCCTCTCCACCCGGGGGCGTCTTCCCTTGTGTCTGCTCCTGCCGCTCTGCATCCTCCGAGCAGTGACCCAAGGGCCGTGTTGTAGTCTCTGAGGGTTTGCAGTGAGTCAGAGCTGGACACCGGTAACGACCCCGTGGTAGCGAGCGTTAAGCCAGGTCATGTCTTATCCCCACATAAACCAACCGCACCTCGCAGCCCAGCTTGCTCAAGGCCAGCCCCCAAGGGCCGCTGTGAAATTTGCACTTTTCCTATTGAAAACTCAATTTAAGAAATTGACTTAGTAGGTAATTAGATATGAATACCATCGCTGTTGACAAGGGTGATGCTAATGGTTTTGAGTTAGGGGTATACCTAACAGCCTTTGGAACGATTGGACCTAAGTGGCTTCTCAGATACACAGATCAAGTCGCCCGCCGAGGACACTCAGGGAAAAGCAACAAAGCCGTCTTTATTCACTCGGCCTTTGAGCATGCATGCCTCTCTACCATTCCGTGTGATGACGCTGGGAGCACTGCACACGTGGAACACGTCTGCTGCCCACGGCGTGCACGGGAGGCTCAGGGGGGCGTGTGACTCGGCTGTGAGCACACAGCTGCGTG